CCCAGTCCGGGGAGGCGGCTGCGGGCGGCGGCAACTCCAGCAGCGACGACGCCCTAGTGACGCGCATCTCCAGCCTGCTCCGCGACCTGCCCACCCTGAAGGCGGCCGTGATCGTGGTGTGCGCCTTCACCGCTCTGCTCATCGCCTGCCTGCTGCTGCGCGTCTTCAGGTGGGTCCAGCTGCCCCTTTCCTTCTCCTGCGGGTCCACCCGTACCACCAAACAGCTGTCACCGCGCGCCCGCGCCACGTGCGCTCACAGATGCTCTGGCCGCAGGCTCTGCTCGGACTCGGTGCGCTCCGGGTAGCCCAGCGGCTCCTGACCCAGTGCCCAAGGGCTGCGCTTGCCTGTTTTTCCCTGGCAGCATGTTAAGAGTTTTCTTCCCCTTCTACATATAAAATTAATATTGGATTCCTTTGAACTCTCTGTTAATGGGTAACATTAACAATAGCGCTCTGAATTTTGATGCCCTTATAGGGAATTTATTTTTACACCCATTTCACAGATGCGGAAAAGATTTCTGGTGAGGCACAGCGGCTTATCTAAGTAAACTCGGTGGTGGAGGTAGAATTTGAACCCAGTTCTGTCTGACTCTAACCTTAACCACCTCCCTCCCTTCTGTCTGAGGTTCCCTCACACCCAACCTGCCTTTTTTATCCCCCACCCCCACCTCGTGCTATGAAAATAAGCACTATCTAGTATGTAGGGATGTCCCCAGGACACCTCTTGGAGGTGTGCTTTGGATTGGAGCTGGGGTCCAGGATGCTTGGTGACTTTTGGTGGCCTTAGTGACTTTCTGTTAGTGGAGGACACAGACAACTCCCCTGCCTGAGCTGACCCTGTGAAGATTCCAGGGGCACGAGGGATCTTGCAGAGGCTTTTGCTCAAGTTCAGGGAGAAAGTGTCCGGGAAATCAGGAAGGATGCTGGGGTCTCTGGAGTAGAGAGACGGGGAGAGCTACAGTGGATGCAAGGACGATATGTTCCCCTAATGCCTGGGAAATCCTGTTTCTTCTGCAGGAAGTGAACCAAATGTGTCCTGTTAGTCGGGTGGGCCGCCAGGAAGTGTGTGTGTGTACACACACAGTGTACTTGGGTGTTTGCTCAGCTTTTGGAGGTTTGGGGCCAAGAGTTTGCGCTCCTTAGGGAAGCATTTTCAGTGGCAGGACCGGAAACCAGCCCTGGAAGGCGGGATGGGATGCTACGTTGTTGCTGTGTGGCTGAGTCAGGGTGTTTCCTTGTGGATCTGTAGAATTAAATGCCAGTAGACCTGAGAAAATGGAGAAGGGGGAAGTGTGGTCCCCCATTCACCCTACCATCCCCTGCTCTGGCTCAGGCCACATTGTTCCTCACCGTGCTGGTCTCCTTGATGTGGGAATTGAATTGACCCCCTCTTCACCCCAGTCTTCCCATTGCCCTCGCCCTCTGCCTGCAGACTTCAATGGCTCTCTGTGGCCATTACCTAGACATGGCATTTGGAACCCTACAGACTAGCCCCATCTTGCAGCCATCAGCCAGCCCTCTTGAGCGTTCTGCTTCTTACCGCCACATGGTGCTGGCTTATGCTTTCCTGCCCCTGGGCTGGTTCTTGCTTCACACCTGCCAAGACTGCATGCAGTCACCAAGGTCCAGTTCCCATGCTCCTTCCTCTGGGTAGTTTTCCTGGACATCTGAGTGAGGCTGTAGGGCTTCCTTTCTGGCCCCCTGCCACCCTAGCCTCTGCGTTCTCCCTACAGTCCTCATGCTGTGATGGATGGCTGGGTTTAGTGCTCCGTTACGACTCGGTAGACAGCCCTGGAGGGCAGAGATAGCCTGTTCATCCCAAGGTCCCTGTGTCTGACACTGGCTTGGCATTTATTGGATGCTCTATCCTTTGCTGACTCCTGGTCGTTCAGTTGCAGTGAACATTGATGCCTAGGGCAGCTCTGGGCCTGGACGTTTGAAACATTTATCTCAAAATAGGCTGCTGAGCCCACAAGGCGGTGTACTTTTTAAGAAGGCATTTGAACTATTTTGCTAGTCTGCTCCTTATTATCCAGGAGCGGGGGAGAAAAGCAAGCAGCATGCGGCCAGATGTGAGGGTCCTGAGCCGTGTGTTTGAGTGGGAGAGCCAGCACTCAGGCCTGGCAGGGATGGGTCCTTGTTGGCTTGGGTGTGGTGTGTTGGGAGAAGGTCCTGACTTTATAGGGAAGCCTGTTATGGATTTGTTCTGCCTCCTTTTCCTGGGAAGGCATGTCTCGTTGGGGTGAGTTTTCAGTGAACAGCTGCCACCTTGGTTTCTGATGTAGACAGGAACTTATGGCATTTTCCAGCTGAGAAAGGCCTGAATGGTACACAGTCCCTACGTGTTCCTTGGCAGAGGAGAAAGTTGCATCTCCAGGTCTGATTGTGTCATCCATTCGATTCTAGAACATTCTACAGGTGGCTGACGCAGCTCCATCTCACTGCTCTGTGTGGCTCAGTTCCTTGGGGTCCCACAGGTGGACAGCCTTCTTACCATCCCCCTTACCCAGCCCCTTAGCGGGCAGATACCACGTCCTGGCCATTCCACGCTGCAGTTACCCTGAGGCTATCTCAGTTGCACCCACAACCTTTTCCCCCTTCAGAGCTTCTCCACCTGCCAGCTTTCTGCTCTCCCTGACTCCCTACTTTATCTCTGAGTAACAGCAATAGCCTTCAGGCTGGTGCTCCCGCCATCGTCCCTCCTCTCGTCTCTTTCTCCTCTGCCCACGTATCCCCACCAAGCCAGGCTCCTTAGCACGTGGGCAGGCTGGCTGTCCTCGACCAGGGCCTCTCCTCCAGCCCCAGTCTCGGCTCTGCCCACTGCTCCAGCCCTGCTGGACTTCAGGGGTTCTGCAGAGGTGTCACGTGGCCTCGGGCTTGCATGTCTTGCCCCAGCGTGACCCTCTGCCTGGAATCCCCTTCATTACCAAGGTCACACTGCCAACTGCTTGCTGTTTGCCCTCCTGTATCACCTCCTCTGAGAAGCCACCCCTGCCAGGGGCCCTCAGTCCTCCCGCAGCACACTGGAATTTTGAATTTCTTATGTGAAGTCAAGAATGCCATTGAACATGACCTTTTGCCATACCAGGCCGAGGGCTCCCAAGAGCAAGGCTGGGCCTTAATCATTTGTGTCTCTCAAATACCTACTGTGGCTCCCAGCACAAGCTGGCATCTAATAAAGCTATTTCTAGCAAATGAATGTTGAACTTCTAGGTAGTTTACATTGCTGGTGCTTCTCAAAATGTCCTCTGTGACTAGATTCATTGCCGATGCCGGAAACCTGTGAGGTAGGGATTTGTTTGGATGGCAGGCCTCCATTTTCTTAGCAATGCAGATAAGGGAGGAAGTGTGTAGTAGCATTGTTTATAAAGTGTTGATCCTGGCCCATTTGTTTTCCCTGAAGGAGTCACTTTCCCAGACAACAGAAAAAATGTGGATCCAAGGAAATTGTTAAAATTAGAGGCAACGACTGTATATCGAAGTGAAAAATATCTATATACCTTTAACCAAGCAATTCCATTCCTAAGGTGCACACATTTTTCACTGTGATACATATCCTTTGCTTCTAATTTGATTAATTAGAAGAGGAGGCAAAGATGCATGGGCAGTGAAGTTCGGAGCACTCTGTTTGACAGTGAGAAGGTTTAAAAAACCTAAGTATCCAACGACTGGGCACTGGTTAGTTCTGGTAATCCTTACAGTGGAATATATGCAGCTGTTAAAAAGAACGATGTCGCTGAAATGCTATATATTGTTGAGCGAGACAGATTACAAAACAGCACGTTCAGTATGAGCTCATTTAAAGAAATAAATAATATAGATATGAATGTGCAAAGAAATCTGTGTGTGTGTGTGTGTGTGTGTGCGTGAGCACGTGTGAATGTGGGTGATTATGTATTTATTACTCACGATATATTTCTACATTGTCTGAATTTCCTTACAATGGATATCTGTTTATCATTTCTCTCTTTGTCTGTACACTCAGCTCCTTGCTGCATCCTCAAACATGTTTTCTTAAGGACTTGTACAAGCACATCTAGGGTGGACATCTAGGAGTAGGATTTCTGGGTCCAGGGGTACATACACTTGACTTCCTTGAGTATGTACCAGTTTACCCTCCCACCTGCAGTGCTTGTGGGTTCTCAGATCTTCCCATCATATCCACCGCTTAGTATTATCAGACTTTCCATTGTTTTCCACCCAGATGAGTATAATTCGGTACTCATTGCTTTGTTTGGCATGTCTCCATTTTCTATTGAGATTGAGTAGTTGTCTCTTCTGATACCAATCCACCAAATGTCCCCACCTGTAGAATCATTTATACATTTTTCATGTATTTTAGTCATTAAGGAAAACGATTTTAAGACAGAATTGGAAGGGGGAAAGGCAGGAGGCAGAGCACTCTCTGGTGAAGGTACTTGTGTGGGTGTGTGTGTGTGTGTTCCATGTGCGGTTCTGCTCAGCTCACAATGGAGCCATTCCCCCTATGTCACTTGGCATGTTTGTGAGAGCTGGAAGGAGATTAATAAAAAGGCTGCGTCTAGGAAGTAGAAAACTTGGGTCCCTCCAGTTTTTAATGTGGGGAGGCATCTGCTGGGATGGCGTGGATTCAGGGATAATGCGCATAAGCTGCGGGCCATCGTTCTCAGTACCTTTTGCCCCACATGCTCTCTTAGGTCATCTTCGAGGTCTGTGGGGGTTGACTTTGCTCTCTGGTGTCTTACGAAGAAGGTGGAGACAAGTCAGAAACTATGTCTTGAAACTATGATTTTCCTTTCCTCCTGAGCATCCTGTGCCCGTCTTGGTGAGTCTCCCTGCTCCCCGACTCAGGCCGCCTTTCTCCCAGATCTGTTGGCTGCATGCCTGGCCACGTCTTACTTCAAAAGCTCTGTGAAATCCTCTTATCTGAAAGGAAAGATTGTTTTGATGATTCCGGGGGATGGGGAAGAGGACAAATTCTAGGTAATGTGACATCACCCAGCTCTCACACTTGCATCAATGGTAAAGGTGCACACCACCATGTCCTGAAGATGTTGGGACCAGAGAGCCTTGATTATTTTATTCAGCCAGGTCTTTGAAAAGGAAGGAAAACTTCCTGCTTAGCCTGGTATCTCCAAATTTCCCATCATCTGTGTACTGAGGTTTGTAATAAGAATAAAAGCTACAAGA